CTTCGAATTGGGACAGCCTTCGTCACGTCGCTGTGACGTAATCGGCCTTAAAATGCGGCCTTTAAGGCTGCAGACCCTGAATTGGGATACAGCCATTATACAGCCACACAGTCTCCTGTGTTTTGTTACACATTGAGTGTAACAAAACACAGGAGACAAAAGACTACCAAAATAAAATAGGAAGTGATCTGCTACACCCACATTTAAGATCCTGTCACACCTAAACTTGACACAGAAAGACACAAGAGGGATGGGGTAGAAGGATAACATAAAAATTTCCAATGATATTTACCAGAATGCTAATGTGTATAAAGAGGAACTGAAAGAAAAAACCCAACTGGAATATTAAACAAACAAGAATCAGAGTCTTAAATTTAAAACCGTCGGTCCAGGACTCAGGAACATGACACTTTGTGTGTGTAATGATTCTTGAAAATGGAACATTTTTAATGCTGCTAAAGTATCCGTGCTAAACAAATAGGATGCTCAAACACTCTACAGTTGTTTTGGAATTCCAGGCTAACGGTGCATGTCGTTGAATTAAAAGAAGTTTATCATTTGTTACGGATGAGTGCAGGATCCTCTCCAGCTTAAACAACTGCTGCTGTTACCTGAGGAGAGTCGAGCTTTAAAAATTAATAACTTAATAGCCACACTAGGAGCTGATTGGCTCTTATCTTAATAACCCATGTGTTAAAACTCTAATTGATGTGCATTTAGATTCAATTTAAATGTTCATTTCAGCTTCTTTTAGTGTCCATCCATACAGTCCAGCCCATTCAAACTGAAGGGATTTGGATTAGGATTTCCTCCCTGTTTTTCTTCCTTCTTTCATCGTTCAGTCTTTGAATCTGTCATTTTAATTTAAGAAGCTTCCTGGGCGGAATAAACTCAGACAGTATATTTCAGTCCACATGTCCGTCTGGCTCTCTGCCTCTCTTACCTTCCTGTTCTTTGATTGGTTTTCGTCTTTCTTCTCTGTCTCACAAAACCAAAATCGCATCATCAATTTGATCAAACTATTAAATTATCGTAGTGATGCTTTGTTCTGCTTGTTTCCCATGAACTGGACGTAACTGGCCAAATAGCTAACGTCAGTTGTTGTCACGCTCAACACAGTGGCAACGCCAGGGTGCCTCGGTCAGCTGCTTCCTTTCATTTCACTGCCAAATCCATGCAACCAGCTCTCCATCCTCCATTTCTCCCCCTGTCGACCCTCCTCATGAGTTAGTTAACCCCCGATATGTTTTAGCTGAAACAGAAGGAGAGAAACTCAGCTGACATCTGCAACAAAAGTGTTAGACTCACTGCCTCTTGTAACCAGATGTTTGTTCTTTCATTGTCTGCTGTCTGCAGCAAGCTGCTTCGGTAGCTCCAGTTGCTCCTCTGCCTTTCTTCTGATTGACTTCCCCTCCCAAACAAAAGATTTGAACACCACCGGCTCTTCTTGCAGCCAGAGCTGTGTGCTGAGATGACCCTGTTGCTCGCATCCTCTCACTGACATCACACTGAGCCAAGAGCCTAAAACAGAATATTTAGAGCAGCCTCAGATGCTCCTCTCAACATTTCCCAAAAAGCATCTATCGTGCTAACAGTAGCGTATATGATATAAGAAAAGACAAATGAGGATCACATTTCCACTTTTAAAAAGTTTGGCAGGAGATTCTGTTAATTGGTTCTTTTCTAGAAATAAAAAAAGGCTCTTTGTATGATTTGTGTGTCACTGAAAGGCTGACAGGAAGATGTGTTGGGTATGCTTTATGGCTTAGCTTCTTATAGCTTGACAAATTGTGTTGTTGACGTGCTTCGTTGTCCTTCTCACCCTGGAACATTCCTTGCCTCCAATCAGCCTTATTAAACTAAAATCTAGCTTTCTCTTCATCCTTCTCTCCTTCTTCTTCTTCTTCTGTCAGGTTTAATAGCATTACTTCCCCCGTCAGTCCTAACTTTGTTTGGCCCTGGAATCTCAGAGTGTGTGTGTGTCTGTGTGTGTGCGTGATAGGGAGAAGGAGAGAGATAGGGTTGTTATGTAATGGTGAACTGGTGGGGTAGCAGGAGAGAAACATGCCAAGAAACAAATGAAAGGTGGAAAGGAAGCTGGAAGAGCAGAAAGAAGTGGTCATTTGCTGGTTTGTGTGTCTGACAAGCAGCTGTTAGTCAAACAGAGTAGCCTAAAACTCTTTGTTTTTCCAAACGCATCAGTCAGTCAAACTTCTTTGACTACTTTCTTGGTAAGTGATAAAAAAAAAAAATAATTTCTTTCTCTCTAATCTTCTTCCTGCTGTTCTGAATGTGTTTTTCTTGCTTCTGTGCAGTTTGAGATTTGCTCGACTCTGATTGTTTTACCAGCCAGTTGCATATTTTTAATAACTGCATTTCAGATGGGCACCTAGGAGATGCAAGACTGAACAAAAATCCATATTTAAATTCAAATTAAAGTGTGTTTTCTTTTGCTGTCTTGTATTTATTAATGAATTAGCTTCTGCTCCTTTCTTGTCTGTGGTTGCTTCAGTCTGTTTTGTTTCTCTGTAGTATAAAATGGATTTGAACAAAAGTCCAGCTCATTAGGATGCTTTCTGCTATGCTGCGTGGCTTAAACTAGATGGGATTTCAGGCGTCCCTTGTTCCTACTGCAGTTACTTCTAAGTGCTGAAAAATCTCTTACTCTGTAAAACCTGTGTCCTGTCACGCTAACATCTATTTTCCACTGTTTGTGTCTTGTGTATTTTTTTCTTTTAATGTTTTTTGAACTATATAATTTTTTTCAAGTAATTTGGGAGTCATTCCCAGTGTTTGCTAGGCCTTGGAGGGGGCTGGCCTTTGGGTTCCTGCTAATTTGTTCTGTTGATGTGCTCTTAATTGGCTCTGAAAGGCTCCACTTCATTATTTATACCTGATGGGACAACTGGATTTATGTGGAATTTAACCCTGGGTCAAACTATTACTCACTCTCACAGTTCAGAACCTCTTGTCTGTCAGCTGTTTAAACCCTAACCCTCAATTGAGTATAAGTCGTGCAGGGCTGATAATGCAGTAATACTTTGATCATTCACCAAAATGCACAGAGACAACACAATAGCGCTTTCTCAACCTAATTTAAGTAGTTTAATGTTAAGAAGATGGAAAATCATACCAACAGAAAATGTCTTAGTTAGACTTTGACCACAACATACTGTCAGAACAACAAAACTATTCACGTTGATCCAAACGCTTCCTTCAGTGTTCAGTTAAGTTGAGATCTGATGACTTTAAATGTCACAGCATCATTTTCTCCCCAAACCATTCAGTGGTGCCTCATTACCTTTGGATGGAGACATTAAAGACACCCTTCCCATCAGGATTGACATTTTTCATCATGAGCTAAAAACAACCGTGTGATTTGTAGTGACTGCTTACTTAATTGCTAAAGACACGCAAGGGAAAGAAGTGGTTGGAGATGTGGCACAACCAAAATAATTGTGACCTTGTGTAATGAGCCTTTGAAATGATGAGCTTTGAAGACAGGGACCAGTTCTGGAACCACTCGCAGTCAGTCTGCAACCAGTCCGCTATCAGTTTGTGATTGAATGTGGTCAATTTTCAGTTACATGCAGCCTGTTCCTGATAATACTGCATTTATTTGTGATAAATCACAATCTGTTGACCTTTGCATAACCAGAAATTCACATTAACTACTTGGATTCAGAGTCCTTCCTGAACAGAAATTCCAATAAAAAAGTGACAAAGTTGTGCAGGACAGGGATTTAACTGCAAAATGACACAGGCTCTTGGCAGCCTTGCTTTTGTATAGGAATGAAACCACAATACAACCTTCTGGTCATCAGTTGAGTTGAGCTGAGTTGAGCCGAGCCGAGCCGAGCCGAGCCGAGTCGAGTCGAGTCGAGTCGAGCTGAGCTAAGTGCCCTGTTCCAAAGAAACACATCAAAGATGAGTTGTGCTCATCGGCGCAGATTTACTCAGACTGATTGCAATGTGTGTGTAATCTGTTTGTGTTTATAAGTTCAACAGCACTTATTTGCAAACCTTCAACAATCTGTCTGAGATTGATTGCAGTTGGACCAGAGACCTGTGCAACTGAAATTCAGTCAAAAGTGAGGGTGTTACAGAGCTGCCAGATCACCTCAATATGGGGATCTGGTGTTTAGGTTTTGCATTTAATTGTCATTCTGTATCTAAAATGAATAAATATGCCAACTCTATGGTAAATCTCGTCTATTTAAGGAAAGCGTTTAAAGGTGCCTACTACACATGTAAACTTAGCATTCTTAGGAACTGGGACCTAACAAACAGGGTAGGGCAATGGTATTTAATGGATCTAGCTATATGATTATAACATCTTTTGAATTGATTTTACATTGATCACCGTGTCATTATATGCTTTGGTTGGTAAGTATATATATATGTAAGTAGCAACAGATATCATGTTGAGAAGTGGTCACTCTAAATTTCTGGCACAGTCAGAATTTTTCCCCAGGCTATGTTTAATGGAAAAATTGTTCTAGTAACCAGTTTTGAACTGCTTGCAGGAGCCACTGCCAAAGATATAGTCACACTAGTCATGATTTGTCTGGGACAGCCTAAAATCACACAATGCTCTTTTTATCCTTTATGTGTGTGCTTGTTTGACTTCTCTGAAAGGTCCCTTCCCTTCACTGCTCTTCTATTTTCGCTGTGCAGGGAGTGAAGCCTGCCAGCTTTGACAAGGTAGCCATTCCCGAGGTGAAAGAAATTATCGACTGCTGCATCAGAACTAACAAGGATGAGAGGTGAGTCACAGACAAACACCATTGATGATAAATGTGCATCTGGGCTTGGTGTGATTTCTTAGGCTGTGGATGTTTGCATGTTTTCAAACTCAACAATTAAAATGGCCTTATTTAACCGATACCATTGTTATTTAGTCTCTTCATGGGTAGACAGATTGATCCGTTAATCGTCCTCTAAAAAAAGGTTACGTTTTTTTAAAAACTCATGCCTTCTTGGTTAGAAATTAAGAAGTGCTCTGTTTTCTCTCCACGTGCTGTTTGCCTGCCAACACTTTTACCACAGTCTCTCGTCTTCTGCTTCACAAGCTTAACCAAAGCAACTTTACCCCTCGCTCTCATCTTTTTTTTTCTCCAAATCTTCTTTCTCCAGATTCAGTTACTGTATCTTTTTCATATTTTTCTAGGAAACCAATAACAATTTTTAGCATTGCTGATGTTTTTTTTAAACTACTTTTCTTTTCCCAAGAAATATTTGGAGGCTTTTTCAAAGCTATCTAAGGACAACATGTCATCAGCATGTTACGATTCCCAGAAGATTATTCAAATACCTTGTCTTTCCTCTTAGCTCATGAGTTAGGAATCAGCTCACAAGGGATTGCAGGTCTTGAATAAATTGATATCAAGTGGTATCTAGAAATAATTCCACTTCTCTCTCATTTACGGTATAACTCTCCTGTTGAATCTCCAGTGAATATATTGTACTGAGCTTGATCCATCTCGCCTTGTTCCTCTAGGTATGCCATAAAGATCCTGTTGAACCATGCCTTCTTCCAGGAGGAAACAGGGGTCAGGGTTGAACTGGCAGAAGAGGACGATGGAGAAATGATCGCTATTAAACTGTGGCTCAGGATAGAAGACGTGAAGAAGCTCAAAGGTAAGGCATGATTTTATCATTATTGATGATGCCATTGTTCACATCACAGGGCAAAATTTGACTCTATTTGTCATATGTGTTCAGATATAAGTGTGTAGCCGTTTTTCTTAGTGGTTCAATATATTAAACTGGTCAAAAACCAAAGCGCGTGTTTTGTTGGACAACCAATATTAGTACATTAATACTATAGGTAATTGCCTGATTGACAATTTTTAACATGTTTGCAGGAAAATACAAAGACAACGAAGCCATCGAGTTCTCCTTTGACCTGAACAAGGACGTCCCCGAAGATGTGGCCCAGGAAATGGTGAGTACAGTGAATAGGAACAAATCCATTTATTACTCCATACATTGTGGAATAATGGATGTCAGAGGGAGAAAATGATGGATTTAGGAAGGACAGAGGAGACATATGGGAATGAGGAAAGAAATATATTGTAATGAGAGATGGAAATGGGACATTCATTCATATAGGAATGATAAATGGCGTTAAATGGAGGTTTTTTTTGTGTCTCTGAGCGACTTCTCTTCAATCCCGCAGGTTGAGTCTGGCTATGTTGCTGAGGCTGACCATAAGACCATGGCCAAGGCCATCAAGGACCGCGTGTCTCTGATCCGGAGGAAGCGAGAGCAGAGGCAGCTGGTACGAGAGGAACAGGAGAAGAGGAAGCTGGAGGCAGAACAACAACAGCAGCAGCAACAGCAACAACACGATACACACAAAGCTTCACACACACAGGTCTGTCGGACTGACGGGCATCGCATTAGTTTGGTGTCTAAGTTAAAAAGCACTTTAATAAGTCTATTGAACCAGCAGACTGGTTTTGGTGCAGTTTAGTAATCTTTTTAAGGTTTGTAATGAAAACAATTACTTAGCCATCTACTGCACAAGCTCAAGAATTAGGACAGGCAGGATTTTGAATTTGATACCATAGGTGTATCTACCAGGAGGCTGAGGGGTACCACTGGCAGCCGCAAGTGTTTTTTTTTTTCTTTTCAAATGATTACAACCAACCAAAAGAGTCTCGAAGAACAGTTCACAGTAAGGATTGGGACTTACTATCAAACATTTAAAGGTGGCACATCCTCTTCTGGTGTAGTCATGGTTACAAGAGCTCACTGACATCTGGTATCTTAGGTTTATCTTTTTAGTCAGTTACTTAAAGCCCTGTTTTTCCAACATGTAAGCATATCAGTCATTTCTATCCACTGCTTGCTCTTCCTATCATATGGTGGAGTCATTTTTTTACATTAGGGTCAGAGAAATAGGAGTTTTATTCGTATTTTGCTTCAGTTTGACCCTCTCCTGTGCATGCTTGTCTGCAGGCAGAGACCGAGGAGACCGAAGTGGAGCAGCACCAGCTTCTCTATCAGCAGGCGAGCATCTCACACACATGTAAGTACCCAGATAAGGAGGTCTAGTCTAAATAGTCGATTTCAACAGTTGTTATATTTGCCCACCAAGGCCAGGAAGGTTTTCTAGCGTCAAGTTTAAATGTATTCCTTCAAATCAGAAGCAGCCATTCTTGGTCCACTTTTCAAATTCGATACAGTATTTAGAGTCGGGCATTAGAAAAGTTTACTCCAGTAAAAAGTCTGTTTCTGTGTCCCTGTCAGCTGAAGGAGGCGTGGACAGTGGCCAGGGTTCCTCTGTTTTCTCCTCAGACTCCCCCCACCTGGGTCAGCTGACCATGTCGTACAGCTGCCCCCCTTCTAGCCAGCCTCCCTCCCAGCCCCAGACCCCCTATCCCCCCAACCCCTCCGCTACCCCACAGCAGCACCCGGGCTACGCCCAGCCGCTGCAGCCAATGGTAAGTGGAGGTTTCATTCAAATGAGTCACTACACGTGACAGTCATGCCACATCGGTGACGGTTAGAATGTTCTCGGTGCTCACGGATGTGATTAAACATGACTCGTCAGTTTGCAGTTGGGAGTGAGTTGGAATGAACTTTGCGGTGCTTGGAAATGGTGTGGGGAATTTCAGCCGCCTGTATTTATAAAAATAAAAGAATGCAGTTAATTGGCTTTTACTTAAAGATGGTAACTTTATTACACTTCAGGAAGATAAATAACACAAGGCACTGATTTGACTTATTCTTCACTGAGGCATGCAGCCTTCAACATTTAACCCAGTATGGCAGTTATAATATTTCAGCCACTTTAATCCATCAGTAAGGTCAAACATAGTCAAACATATTATGTCTGTACTACCAGCGTAGTACCATATGTCATCATCTGTACCTTGTACCTTGGATGTCAGTGAGTACTCTTTTATTCCAAAAAAGCATCTCTCATTATCAGACAGTTACCACCTTTCTTCTCTGTCTTTAAACCCTGCTTTCCTCTCCATGTCTCTCTCTATATTTTTTCCTTTACAGTTATAAATTTCATTTCATTTGTTTTATTCATTCATAGTCGGGCACATCTGTTTGGACACACGTCCAACAGGAACATGTTGAGATCACTCACAGGTCATTATTTATTTACAATGCATTAGATATTTTTTCTCAAGGACCTGACATAGTTTTATGCTCTTTCTCTTAGTGGCCAAGATTTAGATCTAGGTTGACTTATTTATATCTGGAGCGTATGAATCACATTTCTTGTTAAAAGTAGTGGTAATGGAGAGGTGAACGTTTTAATTTTAATTTTTGCCATTACACGCGATGACCTCTGGTTTCTGTGCCCTCATCTGACTTCTAAATTACCAGCATCCACACAGACTGAGACTGCTGTTGTTCACCTAGATCAGAGGTCGGCAACCTGC